ATTATGTAATTATTATTAAGACCTAATTCGCTGTCATGAATACCTTCATGTAACCTGTTTCGGTGAATACAATAAAGTCGTAACTAATGCACGAACCAAACACCGCCCTACTCAAGAGATTTAATTTAGTTCTAATACCGCGAACGTTCTGATAGTACAAACTTAGCGGTTGAATGGTGTTATGTCATTATCTTGCGGGAACAATTTTGGGAACACCCCGTATGTAACGTATGGTTAAGTCTTTCTCATTACCAGCCAATCGTTCCTGCAACTCTGATCTTAGTACATCTGTATCAAATAGTGTTGCTAATGTAGTGTAATACATGTTGGGCCTATACTTAATAAGTGTAATTAAGAGCTCGTCTTCATTAGAAAATGCATAGTGACATTTTGTGTATGGTTGACCAAAATGTTCACAAAAAAAATTAAATAAACTACTTGAAAAACCTGTCGTGTCTCATCTGCGTATCATTCAAATAGGCACATGATATTAGTTGTGACCGCTTGCAACTAATAATCGTTTGAATTTGTTTAGTATGCATTTCTTTTCCCGGATCTTCTGTGGGTTCAACTGTAGATACTTCTGTAAATGCAACATCGGTTGTGATGCCTTCATCAATTTTTTCGTCTTGATCTTTAGGTGTATGAATCGGGGTAGTGGCTCTTTCTCGTCTTAGTATGTATCGATTTCTGCGTGCTGAAGAGGTATTATCATCCCGATCATGTGTACGTTTTGGTAAATGCAGTGTTGGTGTAGCACTTTTTTTTAATATCTTCCATTGACCTGCGACCACAGAAATATAGATTTTATAATTTAAAGGAACATCCTACCTAAACTAGTAACCTCATAGTCTTCTTCACGAAAATGTTTTTCACATATTTTTGAGTGCTTCGAAGGAGTTTTTCCTGACTTTTATGGCGATCAACCACACTCTTTTTCGTTTTTCGTCTTTGGGATACGAATGAAATTTATATTTTGTATTTTTGGTAGTGGAATTACAACCATAAACAGAGCAATTATAGGGCATTGTCACAGTTTGAATAAGAATTTTAAATAAAAATTAAATGAGGTTATGTTTTAATACCAAAACCCGATTGTAGCGACACCTATTTGTAAGTGGTCTATTGTACCATTAGTGTAGCATATGAACGCAGCCTTGCTAACTTCAAGTGATTTGGGAGCAGTAGGCAAATTTTCGTTTTGGCGCGTTGTGGTATAATTTTTAGTGCGACTTTGTAAGCTCGTAAGTACAATTCTATGATGTTTAAAAAAATAACTAAGATGACTTATTATACCTAATGGTTCCCTCGTTAAATTAACCTCAACGTTTATCTGTATTTTATCGTTTTTTTGTCGATCAGATTTTTTTTGTTTACAACGACATCCGGGGCAATGGGACGCGTTGTGCGTACAATTGCCCCTAAGATGCGTACCATTACCCCATTAGACTTTGTTGTATTTAATCACGGTTGTTTTCTTTTAAAGGAAACAATGGTGAGAACGTACCAAAGAAAAACAGTCAAAGCTGCTTGGAGCAAAGCCTCTATGTAAGCAGCTTTGGATGCAGTGCGTAACGGCATGAAAATTCGCAAAGCTGCCGAACGCTTCGAAATTCACGAATCGACTGTTAGAAAATACCTTAAAAGAGGTGCAGCTGCCGAACCATCTATGGGCCGAAAACCTGTATTTAACAAAGCACAAGAGAAGGAGATATCTGATCACTTACTAAACCTCGCAAAATCTTTCTATGGTTTATGGAAGTCGGAATTGCGTAAAATAATTTACGAATATGCGGAACGAAATAATATGAAGCATCCGTTTTGCAATCGATCTAAGATGGCTGGATATGATTGGGTCAACGCTTTTCTTATGAGAAATCCAGAACTTAGTATCAGAAAGCCCGAGGCAACAAGCCTAAACCGCATCTTTAAGACCGAAGTCGATAGATTTTTCAAAAACCTGGAAACTGTGCTGGAAAAATATCCTACCCTAACTGCTAATGATGTCTATAATGTAGATGAGACTGGGATATCCACAGTCCAAAAACCATGCCCAATAATAGGGCCAAAGGGTCAAAAGCAAGTGGGTAAAGCTACCAGCTGGGAGAGAGGCCGTAACATCACCGTTGTCTGTGCAATGGGTGCTGGTGGAAAATACATCCCACCTATGTTTATTTACCCACGTTTAAGAATGACTCCTGCATTAGAGAGGGGTGGTCCACCTGGATCTCTTTATCGTTGTTCAAAGTCTGGATGGATAAACGGAGGATTTGTTTATTGAATGGTTAGTCCATTTTGAAAAACATTCTCAGCCGAAAGCTGACAGTCCTGTTTTATTACTGATGGACAACCATTGTACTCACATCTCTCTGAAGTCATATACATTTTGCAAAGAGCATCACATCGTTGTATTTGTCCATACCACCACACACGTCGCATAGGTTGCAGCCTCTAGACGTGACTTTCTTTGGTCCTTTGAAAGCTGCCCTAAACCGTGAGTGCGATTTACATTTAAAAAATAACGCATATCAAAAAATAACACCATTTGACATGGCACCAATCTTTACGAAAGCTTATTTAAAAACAGCCACTATGGAAAAAGCAATCTCAGGATTTTCAAGCTGTGGAATTTTCCCAGTGAATCCAGAAAAATTCAGCGACGATGATTACGTAGCCGTGGCAAATCCAGTATTAGAGAATTTAGATGCCCAAGTACCAGCAGATATTGCAAATGACCCACAAGAGTTGCATGATGAACCTGGTGACGGAGCTGAGGGCGAGGCTGCGGTTGACCCAGCCAATCATATAATATCTATTCAGGAATTAGCTCCAATTCCGGGACCATCTGGCGTGCAACCAATGACTACTCGTAGGAAGACTCAACATTCCGAGATAGTAACATCAACTCCTATGAAAGTCATTTTAGAGGCTGCAGCCGAAAAAAAAGAACAAGTAGCAAGTCATAAGAATAAGGAAGATAAAAAGAATGGAAATAAAGGAAAGCAGAAGGAGAAGAAATACAAAGCACCTAACTTAAAAAGTAAAAGAAAAGTTAAGCGCAAGGAGTTGTCTGAAAGTTCATCAGATGAAGAAATCTGCGACAAAAAGCTTTGCATTGATAGCGAATCAGATATGGATCCTGATCCAGAGGAAACTGCGGAGCTGTGCATATATTGCGATGAGTTTGGACGTGACAGAGAAATGTGGTTTTGTTGTGGCAAATGCAAGAAGTGGTGCCACAAAGAGTGCAGTGGGGCGACAACCGCGATTGGATTCATTTGTGATTATTGTCGACCAATTCTTGCAAGTAAAAGGGTTCTTACTTTGTAAAAGTTCATTTTAAAATAAATATGAGCATGAAATGGTCACTTCCGAATGGCAGTACAGCTAAAACTAACATAACTGTGTCCTAAAGAAGTTATATGCGTACCATTGCCCCGACTTCCCCTAAATTTAAATCGTTATTAGGTAGAAATTGGCTAAATGTTTTGAACCCTGAGTGGAGGGACAAATTTAACTTTAATAAGTTAAAAGCAAACATGAATCAAGTTGATTATTGTAAACCACACCAACAGTGAAACAGTAAAAGAAAATAAAAAAATTGCTAATTTTGTGTCCACACTCAAGGATGAATTTCAAGAGATTTTTAGAGAGCATCCTAAGTCATGCATAAATAAATTTCAAGTAGAGTTGAAGTTAAAAGCAAATGCACAACCAGTATTTCATAGAGCATACGATATGCCTTTTGCCTTGAAAGAAAATGTAGAAGTTGAATTGTCAAAGATGGTACATTCAGGAGTTTTAAAAAAAGTAAGTTTTACTAAATGGGCTAGTCCTATAGTCGTGGTACAAAAAAAGAATACGAGTGAAATAAGAATTTGTGTGAATTTTAAAAAGACTTGAAATCCTGCATTAGATACAGATCATTCCCATACAGCACGAGCATTTTCCTAAACATTATCACAATGTAGGTATAACATAAGTAGCAATGGAATGTATGAGTGTGCTCTTGTATTGCTCAATAATAGCTGTAGGTATTTGAGAAATACATCGGTGTTACATTAATGGTAAGGTGAGCCGCTTCGCAAATGTAGTGTAAACGTTAACACAAAGTAAGTACATAGGTATGATGTTAACGCAAATAAGTTTCTTTAATACAAACGTTTCCACAAGGTACGCATAGTGTGACAACAGCACTGATATGTGCATGTAAGCGTGGTCTTTGGTGCTAACATTTTTCAAAGGTACACACAGAGTCAAGGTATTAATGTAAATGTGGCCACTTGGTATAACTTTTTTTTATCAAGAAGACACAAGATCATTACACTCGCGGAATGATAATGTAAATGTGGTTCTTTTATTCAAGCTTTTCAACAACGCAGACACAGACTTGTTGCTTTAACGTAAATTCGCTTCCTTAATACACACTTTTTTCTAAAGTAACCACGAATTGTAATCTTTAAGAGATGCAAACGTTTTGCAATAACCTTGGTAATAACGTAGATTCAACACCATTACTTTTACACGAATTTACTTTCTCAATTACCATTGTTTTACAATGTAGATTTTGTGTTCATACTTTACGGAAATATTAACTAAAGATGTGACCTCAAATACACGTTTTTCACAAAAGTATTCATTCACGTGTAATCGAATTATTCAATGCATGTGCATCCATATTTTTGAGGGTAACGTAAATTAAATGATGCAATAAGTATTCTGTATTATACATACTACCCTACAAGATCCATTTTATTTTAATAACAATTATGTGGGAATTTGCAGCGCCGCAGTGTGGTAAAGCCGTCTTACACTATGCAATTTGTTGCGCAAGAAATTGTACAATTTCTTGTGCAAAATATATTGCAAGGATTTAGCAATTCATTGACGCTCTACTGTTTTAAACTATGCAATTTCCTGTGCAAGAAATAACCTGCGATTCTGCGCATTTATAATTATTTTGAATCAACAATACTACAGTCCTAACCTATTAAGTGTATTTATAAACGTACCTATAGGTAATTTATTGATAAACAACAAATATGCAAAGACCAATCGCAATTTTTGGTGCATTCGTCGCCTCATATATAATAGGTAAAATTGTAAAAAGACGCGTAGTCCAAAAAACACAAAAAAAGAAAAAGAGAAAAACGTGGCAAGAAAAATGGCTAAATAGAAGAGATATGGGTCGAGGAGTTTTGTCACTTTTAAAAGAAGAATTACAGTATGAAGATCCAGACGCTTACAAAATTTTTTAAGAATGGATAACCAAATATTTATGGAACTTTTAAGCCTTCTTGACGATACTATAAAAAAGCAGGATACTCATTTACGTCAAAGTATTTCAAGTGACAAAAGGTAAACCAATATCAGCTAAAATTTTCTCATTACTGTATAGCTAATTTGTACTTGCAGACTAGCAGTAACATTACGGTATTTGGCTAGTGGAAATACGTTTAGAGATTAATGTTGGAATTCTGTGTAAAATATCCGAGATCGTAAGCGGGTTTACGGGCACTCGTAAGATCGGAACTAAAAAAGGCAATTCTGTGTCCGCCCGGATCTTACAAATTCTCGGAAGTCCCTACGGCTTGTCGTAAATTCTTACGGTGACAGATTATCTGACCTAAACTTATCCGAGCGCATCAAAATGAATAATATGCGCTTCTATTTACATATTGGTGCTCTTCTCGAAGAAGATAATGATCGGTAAGAATCAATATTTAAAAGCATAACGCAATTTTCATAAACAAACTTCATATAACATTAAAATTTGCGTACAATTATTTTTAAGTAATTTCATGAGAATAACGAAGAGACAGTTAAGGGACTCGCTTAATGTTTTTGAAACAAGCGAGAAAGACTTTAAACAAATGTTTCGTTTGGACAAAGTAAGTGTAATGGGTTTGATCGAGGAAATAGGCCCCCATTACCAAAACACAGGAAGTATTCCGCTTCATTTAAAGGTAATACCTAGGTATATTTTTATACATATCATTTTCAATACCTATGCTGTAATAACTACAAATTGGTACCTACAGGTACAGATACATAAGAAGGCGAAAGATGACGCATCCTTACTATTCATATTCTATTAATTTGTGCGCCACTGAGTGGGTTCTGCAGTCTGCGTATAGCCATTGTTTAAAAAATGGTATAGCCCGCTGTCGCCTTCTTATGTGCCGGTGCCAGTGCAATAATTACCCAAATTCGACAGGTTCTAACAACACTAAACTTTGTTGCCACTGGTTCATTTCAAAATCCTGTAGGAAGTAGCTGTTGGATTTCTTTGAGTCAGCCATCAGTTTCAAGAATAATACACGAAATAACATCTTTAATATCACAACATTTGTTGCCAGAATGGGTTCAATTTCCGACTGACTTCGAAACAAAAAATAATATTAAACAAGGGTAAAACATTAAGCACATAAGTATTTTAGATAAAACCTTCAACTTTATTCAGATTTTACAACAAGTGGAATGTACGTGGTGTTCTTGGAGTTGTAGATGGAACTCATGTTGAAATTCTTGCTCCACCTACGAATGACGTTCACCATCCCCCTTTTGTTTATATAAACAGAAAAGGAAAACACTCAATAAATGTTATGCTCGTATGTTAAAGGATAAGACGTATAGAAAATGAATATTAATTATTTATTTTGTAAAATTAGATTTCGGATTCTAACACAAAAATTATTGCTTGCAATGCCAGATATCCTGGGTCCGTCCATGATTCTGCAATATGGCAAATGAGTAATATTAAAACTTATTTAAAGCGGGAGTATGATAATGGAGATAAGTCCACGCATTTACTTGGTATTTAAACATATTTAACAATGTTATAATAGAAAAAAAACAATTTTTTTTACCAAATTTACAGGTGATAGCGGATACCCCCTTGAACCATGGCTATTTACTCCCTTTTCGAATTTTGAGCAAGGAAGCCCAGAAGAACGTTTTAATAACCAATTCAAGACGGCTCGAAATGTTATTGAAAGAACCAACGGCATATTAAAAGGACAGAATATGCTACAAACCACTTCATAACTACGATACAGAATGCGGGCTGGACCGCTACACCCCAGCCAAAAAACATTAAAATTCATAGCCCCAATATTCCTAACGAAATCATGGAAATTGTAAAGGAGAAAAGAAAAGCAAGGGCACAATGGCACCGCACACACAGTGTTGAAGATAAGAGGAAATTCAATCAACTTAACAATAAACTCCGAAACAAATTACAAGCTGTTCGGAACGAGACATTCCAAGCATACTTGAAATCACTAACTATCACCGACAATACAATATGGAAAGCCACTAAAGGCATAAAAAAACCAAACACACATATTCCTCCAATACGCGATCAAGGAACTTCATGGTTGAGGTCCGACAAAGAAAAAGCAGAAGCATTTGCACATTACCTAGAAGGCGTCTTCCAACCAAACTCTAATGAAATAGACGAGGAAGTTGAAGAAGAACTACAATCTCCACTCCAGCTGTCACCGCCAATATGTAAAATTAACCCTCGGGAAATTGTACAGGAGATAAAATTGTTAAAAGACAAAAAAGCTCCAGGCCACGACCTGATAACGGCAATAGTTCTCAAACAGTTACCTGACCACGGAATTCGTTTCCTACAAATACTCTTTAACAGAATCCTTAGTCTCTCCTATTGGCCGCTGCAATTAAAATTTGCGCAGATAATCCTTATCCCTAAATCTGGAAAACCTGCCAATGAAATCACTTCCTATCGTCCTATAAGCCTCCTGCCGCTGGTGTCAAAGTTGCTTGAGAAATTAATCTTACGACGTATTAATGAAAATCTGTTGCAAGAGACATGGCTGCCTAACCACCAATTTGGATTTAGACAGCAGCACTCAACTATTCAACAATGCCACCGTTTAACGAATATAATTCAAACTGCTTTTCAAAATAAAAACTTTTGTACTGCTGTCTTCCTGGATGTACGACAGGCCTTTGACAGAGTGTGGCATAGAGGATTACTTTACAAACTTAAGAAAACGCTTCCCCACGAGTATTACTTACTAATAAGTTCATATCTTACTCATAGAACATTTCAAGTTAAGCATGGCAAGGAAATATCCCAAATCAAAGACATCAATGCAAGTGTGCCCCAAGGTAGTGTACTGGGGCCTATACTATACCTCCTATACACCTACGACCTACCTACAACAGAACAAACGAAAATTGGCACATTTGCTGACGATACAGCGATACTTACATGTAATGAAGACCCGTTAGCAGCATCAGCTTCTTTACAGTCCCATCTTAAACGAAATAGAACAATGGCTAATTAAGTGGAGAATCAAAGTGAATGAAAGTAAATCGACACACATTACATTTACGACCAGACACGAAATCTGCCCAGCTGTCACTCTCCATAATATACCCATTCCTCAGTCCAAGGAAGTCAAATACTTGGGACTCCATCTAGACAGCAGGTTGACGTGGAAAACTCACATTATCAAAAAACGCAAAGAAATGGACCTAAAGTTGAGAAAGCTATATTGGCTCATCGGACGGAAGTCGTCGTTAATACTAGCCAACAAAATACTGATATACAAGTGTATAATTCGGCCCATTTGGACCTACGGTTGTCAGTTATGGGGCTGTGCAAGTCGATCTAGCACTGATATTATTCAACGCTTCCAATCAAAAACTCTCCGTATTATCACAGCCGCTCCTTGGTATGTATCCAACCAAACTCTTCACTCGGACCTAAACATTCCCTACGTGACTGAGATAATCAATCAATATGCTGCGAAGCATCAAACAACATTGGAAGTTCACCCCAACGAGCTCGTGACACCTCTCGCAGAAGATCCTCCGCCCAGACGCCTTAAGAAGAAATGGCCAAAAGATCTCGTAGATAAATAGCGGACTGACTCCACTGGGAGTCCCTCTACTCACGCCTGATAATGACAGACAATAAGCTCATAGAATGTAATATTATTCTGATTGCTTATGGAATTTAATCAATAAAAAAAAAAAAAAAAAAATATTAAAAGGACGTTTTAGATGTTTGTCAAGGCACAGAGTTCTTTTATACCATCCGAGTAGAGCAGCTAACATCATTTATTCTTGCTGTGTTCTTCACAATATTGCTCTCCGGGCAAGGATTCCTCTTCCGGAGGAAGAAATAGAATATAGAGACGAGATTGGCATAGGTAAACGTTTTCATGTACATCATTACCTCAAATAAAATGTACAATGTTTTTAGAAGGCAATTTGGAGTACAATGATGTTCTGCAAGAAGGGAGGGCTACAAGAGCTAGATATATAAGAAATAATTTATTATTATAAAATACAAAAAAAAAACTCCAAGACATTTATGTTAAAAAAAAGACTATTAATCAAAATCAAATTTAAAGTTTTGGTTTTCAAATTTATATTTTGCCACTTCAAATTTAAGTCGAAGAAGCTCGTTTTTGTTTTTTTCCTTTTTACACTTTATGTACTCTTCGGAAAATTGTTTTACAATGGAACCTAATTCTTCAATATTTTTTTCGGATTTGTTCATTGTATTCAATAAGCTTTCTGTCACAATCGACAATGGCTTTTGCCGAGGTAGAGTTTTTGTCCCAGGTTTTTGCGGTGGAACGGGTGTAACAGCCGGTTCAATTTCAGGTGGTACTATTACTGGTGTATCATCTTCAACCGGCATTGGTTCAGTAATTTCCTCCTCAAGAGGTATTATCATGGTATCTGAATCTAATAAAATTCCATCGAAGTTTGTAACACCCAACGCACCGGTTACGGTCACTTTTCCCCATACACAGAGTGCCCGTTCTTCCATGTCTGTTAGTGTTATACTGCTTTGAGGACCTGATCCAGTCTTTAAACGGTGCTCATTTAATTTCCTATATTTGTTTTTCACAAAGTACTTCCAATCTGTAAAACGCTAAAAAAGATGGTTATTTAAAAAAAGCGATGAAGAGATTTAAAATAATGCTACAAAACTTGTGCTGAAGTTTGCTGTATAAATCATATCGTTTTTACCTTTTTCCAATCAGCTACAGTCAGCTGAGGCCCATCTGGATCAGAATTTAACTTTTCTGACATTTCACCCCATTTATTTTCGATGTAATTTACATCTAGCGATGGGTTGATTGTATTGGATCGCATATGGTAGTCATTTTCCATGTAATATAAGTAAATATTATATTGATTAGTTGTTGTGTTCTTGGTTCTCTTTCTCTTTTTGTTTTCTAAGCTAAAAAAATGTAAATTGTCATTTTTAGGTTAGGATATTAATTTTTTTTAAACAAAGAAATAACATTGTAAATGTACAATGTAATCTTCAATAATAAAATCTTACCTCATAATGCTACTCTATATTCAATTTTACTTCAGTAAACTGTCCAAACGGCAAGGAAACCAAGGGATAAATGGTGTACACTACCGGCTTGTCAATGAAAACAATAGAAGTGAAGTTGGTTGCGATCGGAACGGCTCGGTAACGGCGACTCGTAACGCTTTTCATTACGAGTCGGCGCACAGAATTGCAAATTTTAAGGTTTTGTAAAATTTCGCTTACGATCAACTTATAAGCTACGGGCGTACGGTTTTACGGTTTAACGATTGCATATGTACAGAATTCCAGCATTAATGTATGCCACACGCATACATGAAAGTACCATAAGCATTATTGTCATGGAAGTATGTCAAGCTATAGTAGACAACCTATTGAGAAAGTATATACAGGTATAATATGGGTTCATGTTGGGTTTAATTCATTCTAACGTTTTGATAGTTGCCTCAAACTACTTTGGAGTGGGAAAACGTGGCCAGCGGTTTCGAGAAACTTTGGAATTTTCCTATGTGTCTCGGCGCTATAGATGGCAAGCACGTCAATTTTCAAGCGCCTAAAAGCAGTGGTTCTTACTATTATAATTATAAAGGCTCGCACAGTATTGTGCTACTAGCTTTAGTAAATGCAGAGTATAAGTAATTTTCATTTTCAACAATAGAGACCTCAGGATCTATAACTTAATTCCAAAACGTATGAAGAAAACACAAATTAAGTATTGTTTACCTGTTGTACTTTCATATGGTTTTGGTGCTATTTGGATACTTTCCCCATTCCTTGTGTTATTTGGACGTTTTCGCTGTTGATTGCCCTTTCTTAGTATCTCACTGTTTCTTGAGTGATCTGAAAAAACGGAGAATGTAGGGTAGCAAAATTTAGAAGAAATTACTACCTTTCTGTTTTGGATTTTTTAGTTTTGGAGGTGATGGTAGCATTGTGTCGCTGCTTTCAGATTCACTACTGGAAATTATTTTTTTTTTCCTTTTTCGTTTGTTACAGTCTTCTGTGTCTGTATTTAAGTCGCTGGTGTTCTCAGCAACCTTTGCCTTTTGTCTAGCTATCCCATAATCATCTAATAGTATATTAAGTATGGAGAACGGTAAGGGATTTTTACCGTTCGAAGACAATTGTTTGGAGGAGGAGCGGAGCGACGACTCCAATTATTGTCTGAGAACGGTAACCCTTAACGTTCGACGTGCTTATAACATTTTTTGCGCGATCGAAATTAAAATTATGCAACCAATATAAATATGCACTAAGAAATTAACGAGCAGAATAAATTGAAATGATCGAAGTGGTATGGTGTGCATCACTAGGTAACCAGTTTATTTGTCAAAACTGAAATTAATAATTTCTTGTGCATGTGTCTGATGTAGTTTGCTAGCTTTGCACTTCCGTTATGACTTTATGAGCGAGGTATTCGCCGGTGGCCGAATGGTATGTTGAAGATTTTACAGAACAAAATTGTAATTGGAATGTATTAAGAAAAACGAAAGCACATCTTCAAACACATTGATCTCTATTGCTTCAGGTTTAAATGAAGAACGTGTTCTTTCTATAGGAAACATCAGCACAAATTGTAAGTTTAATGTAACAATAATTAAAGATTAAATGTAATGTAAGACTGTTAATAGTCGGGGCTAAAATCTCAGAAAAGCTCTCCGTTTCAATGCAAGAAGCATTTCATGTAACAATTGAGTTAACACCGGTTCTCCCCTATTTAGACCCCGTTGAATCCGAATATGCCATTTGCCAACTCGAAATTTCAACCGGAAGTGAGATATTCAAGATGGCGTCCAAAATAGCGCCAAATTTAAGTGTTTTTTTGCTTTTGGTCATATGTGTGCGATCCAAGTGTCTATCCCTAGGTTTTTTGGGGCGTAGAACACGATTAAATACTTAAAAATAAATTTGGTTAAGAAAATCACCAAGTTCACGTCGTGTTTGATAGGTATCGTGATCTTTCTGTCAAAGCCGGCACAAGAAAACACAGGTCGAAAGGTTTTGTCCCTGTACGGAGAGTTATCAAGAACGGTGGAGTTCCCCTGCCCAAAGATTGGACAAGCTTCCTTGCCATGTCAGAAAATAAGGCCGACCTCACGCGCTTCTTGAGTGAAGAAGCTATGAAGCATGACTTTGGCGGCTTAGAAGTGCTTGTGGCTGGTGGTTTTGTAGAAGCTACACATGTCCAGTCAACAAACGAAGCAAGAGACCTCACGCACTTCGTTGCAAACCACGAAGAGGCTGACGCAAGGATGGTGCTCCACGCCGTCCACAGCGACTGTGAGTCTGTTGTTGTTTCTGTAAGGGACACCGATGTATTACTATTATTTATCTACCACTTTGAACAAATGATTTGCAAGAAATGTTGGATAATGTGCGGGACTTACCGTGAGAGAAAGTACATTCCTATTCACGAAGTTTGTCAAAAGCTTAAACCCAACCAGATGAAACATTTACTGGCTTTCCATGCAGTTACTGGGTGTGATACCACATCAAAGTTGGCATCAGTAACTAAAACTGGCGCATGGAAACATTACACAGAAGAAAATTCAGCACTCCTTAGTGGACTTGGAGCTACCTCTGACCTGGCCAGCGATGTACTCGACAATATCGAGCAATTCGTGGTGCAAGCTTTGTACAAGGTTTGTTGCGTCCCCTTATTCACCACAAATTATTTGCTGTTAAAATATTTATTTTTTTACAATTATGTCACTTTTATTTTAGGTTGGGCCAGACATTACAATGTCAAATGCAGCGCGCGTTTCTCTTTTTGGAGCTGTAAAGGTGCTGGAATTCTTGCCGCCTACCAGTGACGCACTGCGCTTGCATATCCTTCGGTGCCACTATCAGGTAAAATTAATATTTTAAGTGGCGTTTGTACATTAACTGTCGCAGGTATTTTCATATTAATTTATTTTATTTAGGTTTTTGTGTGGAAAAACTCCCACGTGGCCTTCCCCGAACTACCTGACCCTAAAAATTGTGGGTGGAAGGTGGAAGGCGGGCGATATGTGCCTATTCTCATGACTCTGCCATCTATCCCAAAGTCATGCCCGGAGTTTAGTGTTTGTGGCTACAAAGGACTGTGTAACACAAAGCAGTGTGGGTGTAGGAAGGAGCCCTGGGTCCCTTGCACAAAACTGTGTAAGTGCAGAGCAAAGTGCTTGAATGGGGCAGGTGACGATGACGATGAATGACGAGTATTAATGTCAATTGAATTCAGAAAATAAAAGTCCTTTAACACTTGTTTAAAATAATTTTGAGCATTTAAACATGCTCTAAATCCCCTCAGACACAGCACATAATTTTCTACACATTTCGATAAAAAAATGATTTTTTTGGTTAATATTGGTGAAATTTTGTTAAAATATGACTTTTTAATGGTGATTTTCTTAACCAAATTTATTTTTAAGTATTTAATCGTGTTCTACGCCCCAAAAAACCTAGGGATAGACACTTGGATCGCACACATATGACCAAAAGCAAAAAAAACACTTAAATTTGGCGCTATTTTGGACGCCATCTTGAATATCTCACTTCCGGTTGAAATTTCGAGTTGGCAAATGGCATATTCGGATTCGGCGGGGTCGAAATAGGGGGGAACCGGTGTTAACTCAATTGTTACATGAAATGCTTCTTGCATTGCGATTTTCACAAAACTAGACCCGACTAAAGTTTCTATACGCAGATGTTGGAGTTAATGGGGGAATCAGTGATGGTGGAGTATACAGAGAAAGTAGTTTAAAGAAAGGTATCGAGAGAGGTCTCTTAAACTTTCCACAGGATTCCAATTTACCAGGAACTAACCTAACTGTGCCGTTTGTTATTGTGGCAGATGATGCATTCCCGCTATCCAAAAGAATAATGAAACCATATCCTTTAAGGGGACTTTCTGTGGAAAAACGAATATTTAATTACAGACTGTCAAGGGCAAGACGAACAGTTGAAAATGTGTTTGGAATCTTAACAAACAGGTTTAGAATTTTGCAAAACACAATAAATTTAAGCCCCGAAAAGGCCGAAATACTTACCTTAGCATGTTGTACATTGCATAATTTTTTGGTTGTAAAATCGAAGAGATACACCCAAATAGCCACAGAAACGAATGAAATATGTGCCTTAGAAAACATACCTCGGCAAGGCGGATTGAGAGCGGGAAAAGAGGCTCTGCTCACAAGGGAAAAGTTTTGCGAATATTTTAATAATGTAGGACGTGTTGATTGGCCAAATAAGTCAATTGGGCTAATTTAAGTATTAAAACAGAATTGCAACCGATACATCTATCATATTCATGTATATTATAATACATATACTATTTGAATAATGCCTCATGTAACAATGTGTGAATATTATACTGCACAGTCAGCTTTGTGTTCTCGTCTTTAATTTTTTTCAGTTGAGCACTCACAAACTCTCCAAATATATCTTCGGCACTTCGGTTATCTACTTTAAGAGCGTTGTAGAGCCCCCCGAGGCTTGTAGACACAGCCTCTAGTACCTTTAAATCTGGGTCTTCTGTATTTTTCCTCTTTCCTGTTGCACGTCCTACAGATGGTTTTTTTTCAGCCCAGTAGGTCCTGGCTCCACATCATCTTGAGGGCAAGATGATCCACTTCCTACAGATGATGGTCTGGTATCAGTTGGAAAACCTCTCTTCCTAATACTACTTGACGGCCTTGATTCTGACTGCATCTCAGGGGATAGGGGCGTTAATACTCCTTGTTCATCCATTTCATATTCCTAAACAATCTAAAAGTATAGAATAATGGTGCATATACAAAAATAAAACTTATAATGAATCTATTGTAGGTATATTTCAAGCGTAATAAAATAACTTACGGTTTCATTCATTGACGATTCCGCTAAATCTTCCTCCTGCGACGCATCATTAGCTTCCTCGGGCAATACGAAGTTTGAGTTAGATTTTCTTATGGCGAGGTGATCATCTAGGAAATCCATTTTATCGTAGTACCACAAGGGCGGATGGTAGACCTGATTAATAGGTTCGCGTGTCGGTTAATTGGTTAAGAAAGGTAAACGGAATTTCAATTAGTTAAAACAAATAGTACAAAAAAGACGTTAATATAAAATATAGCGGGGTTGAACGTGTTTTAAGCATTTTACGTGACATGTACACATAATGGTGACTTACCTCATTTTCTCCCATTCCACTACGTATACTGGATAAATATTTTCTCCTTTCGTTGGCGTACGTCGTCCTTAATCCATGAAATTTTTTTTGGATATCCGCTTCTGTAGTGGATGGTATTATATGCTTAATATCCTCAACAATGTTCTGAAGGGCTGCGTTTCTAGCATGCTTGTTGTGGTAATTTTTGTCTTTTACCACATAAAGACATGGATGCAGTTTATATAAATCTATAAGGGCTCCAATTTGTTCATGTGTCCACGACATTTTCAGTTTTTCACACACTTTAAACACTTAAACGCAAAACAAAACAAACGCGCCCACGTTTTCTCAAACAGCTGATGTTTGGCGCATGTGCATTTTCAAATTGCATTGAAAATTGAATAAAAATTAGCACCTGTTCTATTTTCGGTGCAATTATTTCATGCAATTTAACTTTTCGTGCAATTTTTTGTATGATACTGTGCAATTTAAATTTTGCAATATATCTTGCCCAACAAATTGCATAGTGTAAGACGGCTTTAAGGCCTGTTGTAGAAAACTGCAAGTAGTACCTAACCTCGCTTTCTCTTTGCGCCAATTTTGCTAAGCACGCGTTTGTTAATTTGTTTTTAGTTTTTGTAATAATTGTGTGTGCTGTTGTGTTTCAGTGTTTGTTTAACGTAAGTTCTTCTAACTAATAAGGTTTATGTCTAGTAACCTTTTGTGTTCTTTAACCACATAAGTTTTTTAGCTCAATCTAGATACATTTTCATTGCTATTCTGGAGACTATGCCTAAACACAATTCGCAATAGCACACATCAACAGAGGGCGCTGTGCTTTTTAAGTATGGCCGCTTGTTTGAGGACAACTGATTCATTTGTGTATGGATCACATCATGGCCTAATAAGAGTATTAGGCTATGGATCACATAAGAGATCAGTTGTATTTTACAAACCTTTCGTTTTCGAAATATGCACATTATCAGTATTAGTGACTTATTAACGTATGTGGGTGTTGGGCTGTTGGCATTCGACCTTTGAAGGAAGGCGAGGCAGTGTTAGAAGCTAAACACATAATATTATGTGGTAAACAAAATGATGCGATTGTAGCACTGTGCTTGCAGACCTCGAAATTAACAGACCATCCACATAAAATAACATTAAATATACATGGAGGTAATTATTAATTACTAAGCTTGGAAAATAATTATCTTTTATTAGAACCATCCCTGTGGCAATGCCAGTGCTCATGCAAAGCTGGAGCTGGTGGTCGTTGCAAACTATAGTGGCAGTTCTTTTATATTTATATAGGTAAGTAAATAAGAGAAGTTGGAAATGAGCCATCTAACAACAAAAATCTTGTCAGATTAGAAACAGAACTGCAAGAAGTATCGTGTACCGAACTGGAACAAACTTGGGGAGCTACCAAAAGTGCGAAACCTGTGGACGTTATTCCAGTCCAAGAATTTTGTCATGTTACGGCAACTTCCTGTTGTCCTGAGTTTCCGTTTCAGATGCTGTTTTAGAAGAATTCTGGATGAACTGTTTGAGTGGTATTATTATAATTATATTTTTATGCAATGCATTAGCCGCAGATTTCATCCTTTACTTTTCAATAAAATTGAATGTAATTAACTAGGCATGCACTGATGCTTCAGTATTTGACCAATTTTGAAAGATTGCCTAAATTTAACTGAATATGCATGTAAGTTAACGTCATTCAATTTTTTTTGGAAATTAATTGATTTGAATACTTGGTATCTAAGGTGTCTCGGTATGCACTTATGTGGTGCGATTAACTTAATGCAACAAAATCAATTAATTTACCAGAAACACTTGACTGTTACTGATAAAATAGTGACAATGATATTTAAAAACATAAACAGTGTGTAATATTCCTCTGAAGATATTACAGCTGTTACAAGCTCCGAATCATATATACATAATTTCGAAATACGTCCTTCACTGCAATATTTAATACCCGAAAATTCTGAAACTGTTGTTGCAGACGGTTGAGGAAAATTGTACGTCTTTGATTGAAGAATATACAAGTGACACAAAGAATTCAATTCATACAAATGTTACTCCTTTAGATGACAATACTAGTTATACATTGTGGAAGATGCATTAAAGGTTAACTTACAGGAGCCCTTTATATACAATCTTCCAATTTATTGTCTAAGCAAGTTTGAAACTGGGATTTATAGGAATGTTTGTTTATCATTGGAGGAATGCATTCGTCTTAGCACTTTAACAGCATCACAATCGGAATGTCAATTATGGATAGAAGAACGGCAAAAAAGAATAACGGCTAGCAGAGCGTATGAGTTGTACACGTACACTAAAAACAAGAGACCTAACTGGAAACAAAAAATTGAAAAATTTCGGAATTTTAATTTTAAAGGAAACGATGCAACGCGTTATGGTTTGCAGCAAGAAAAATGTGCTATCGAAGCATATAAAACTGCAACAGGCCTACAAGTTCATTTTTGTGGATTAGTTATACCATCCTGCTGTACCTTGGTTTGGTTGCAGTCCAGATGGCCTTATTATTGAAAACGGTAGTATTGTAAAAACATTAGAAATTAAATGTCCAATTGCAGATCAGACCAAAAGTGCTCGATAAATTTTAGAAAATGGGGATTTAAATTATTTAAAAATTATAAGAGGAGCACATTTAAAGAAAATTGTAAATACTATTGTCAAGCGCAGATGACGATGGGAATTTTAAATGTTAAAGAATGCGATTTCATTGTATATATAGTAGTTCATTTGATGAATCGTATATATGCTATAATTTGAAATTTAATCCATCTTTTTTCACTAAAGTACTTAGTTCTTTATTTACTATTTATGTAAAATATTTTTTAAAATAAAAACGTGTGCATGTATGAGTTTTATTTTATTTAATGGAGCAAGCCAATCTTCATCAAATTTTTCCACAATTGCTTACATTTCCTAATTCTAAGCATAGTGTAAGTATGATTAAATTGAAATATCTTAAACATTAGTAATTACGGGTAAAACAAAAATACATCCAACAATGGCACTGTTTTTAAAATTTATCATTACCTAAAATTGGTTTTGATAAGTTAACCAAGGCGCCAATTATAATTAAAACATCATCAATGCATGGTAATAATGACCATGGAAGCCTATTACGAAGTACAGCAAATAATTTTAATTTTTGAATGAGTCTTTCAACGTGAATTCGGGCACGAGCAATACTTGCAGTTTCTTCGGCTTCTTGTTTAGAAAACTGTTTTCTACTTTTACCTAAAAAAGGTGGCCTTATTAATTGAATGAAATGTTTCTTACATTCATCTTCTATTAAAAAGCCTTTGTCAACCATTATAGCATCTGCTCCGGGAATTAGCAGATCAATGATACCTTCCTTGTTAAAAATACTTTTATCAGAGGCCCTACCTCCATATGCTTTACTCAGATAAGTAAGCATACCTGATGGAGAAACCCCTATTAATACTTTAACGTTGTGGTCTTTCTTGTAATGGGAATATGTACGTATTTTACACTTAAGGCACCCTCTTTTTTGCACAGGTATTTCTGTGCAATCTAATATTACTCTACATTTTTTATAATTATCAAAACATTTTGGCATATTTTGAAGAATTTTGTCCTTTGCAGGAAATTTCAGAAAAACTTTCATATAAACAGACATAACTTTGCAAGTGTCTTTAAAATATATGCGACTCGCCGATTCACTAATATTAAATAAAACTGCTAGAAACCGAAAACTTAATCCTAATTTAATTTTCATTAAAGTCAACAAAATCCTCTTGCGAACACAGAAGGTATAGTTCCTATTACTTGTTGCAAACTGTAGGTACCTACACTTAAAGTATTTGCGATTACGTCACATTGGAAATTCCTGTGCAGAATTTAATTCTGTAGTCATTGTTGATAATGTCTGCAATGCTAAACTCACGCTGATCTAAATACGTATTTACATTTACTTGAACAGAAACGTCCTTATACAACACATTCAAAGAACTTTCAGTCTCACAACACATTTCATTAACCGGCTTTTCTTCTTAATTCTTTAGTTTGCGTGTTTGCCTCGGTGTTTGCTAATAAAAGAAGCGTGTCGGCTGCTTCCAAACGCACAGCTTTTTCTAACAGTTGTTGTCGACGGACGTAGCGGTCTTCACGTTTTGCCTTAGTTTCATGATTAACTGCCGATTGATGCCGTATTTGAGGTAAATTTCTGCTAGGACAGGCAGTCTTCTTTAAACATTTACGTTTATGTGCAACGTCTAAAAAAAGTAAAATTCATAAAGAAGCACATCATAAAATTACTGCGCTTACCTGGTAAAATATAATCCTCTTTTGTAAAGTGAGCACTACAAACTTTCATTGTATTTGTTATGGGTTTGTCTATTCGTAAAAGAATTTTCCATTTTTTCCTACTCAGAGCATTTTTGGGGAATCCGTGCATTGAGACACTACACGCATAATCATTTCTACACTGAGGAACTGAGCAATAATTGATTACTTTTTGTTATTTTTGTGTATTCACGTTTATTACATACGTGAACGTCCATTTTTATCCTCAAACAGATAGTTCTAAAGTTGACCGCTAAGCGGAGACTTTAGTGTGCGCTTGCGAATTACAAATAGCCCAGGCACTTTAGACAAAAAAATGCCCTAAATTAGACAAAATTAGTAACTAACTGATTTTTGGTGGGGTGTTAGTGTATGATAAGGTAAGTATTTTCTGAAAGTTCCCGTTACTTCCCCCACTTGCTTCACCCGGTACAGCGCCCTGTGACCGGAAAGTAATGAAATAGCTATTGTGCTCCATCTATGGCACCACCGATTTTGGTGGTCGTGGTCTTAAATTGTTCAAAATGACAGTGGTGGCGCTAAATAATAACCACTGAAATAATCCATAACAGTTTGAGGGGTTTTATTTGGAATTTTTAGCAATTTTTTAACCACAAATCCAATAAATAATTAAAGTGCTTTCAGAGCACCTAAAATGAAGAACTTTGTTACAATTTCGCATCTTTAACATCCTTATCATCCTGCAGAGGATGAGGTCGATGCATTGGTGCAATCTCCAATACAGCGGGTAAACTTGGAAGTACAAGCTCGGGCGCAGTTACAATGTCTATATCACACTGGCCTATACAAACATATGTGTAATTAAATGAAAAGCTCGTCAGGTGCTTGGTGCCGGGGTGACTTGCTCGTGAGATATCCGGAATCCCCATTCTGTGGGTGTTAGTGGTTTCCAAGCCAATGCTGTACCTGAAGATACACGCGGTGAGAATGGAGAAACGCCGTGTCAGCGGTCGGTTGGAGGACGAATGGCCAAGTCGAATTCTGATGAAAATTTCTGGTGAGCGACAGTGTATATCGAAACTGGTTTTTCTGCAGATGCGTTCAACAATTTCCAAATTGTTTCCTTTTCCGAATCAAGACGAGGTCTTGTCGAATCCCGATGTCTCTTTTGTGCGGGCAATTTTATTTTAATGTATGGTAAAAACCTTTATTTTTTTAACGAAAAACATTTTCGAAGAACACTCCGCTTAAGTGATCATAAGCACGAATAATACCGCATCCATCGCAACTGCGGCAACTTGGTCTAAAGTGGTCGCCTCGATAACGAACGTCACAATCAAGGTGTCGGCGGCGATGCTTTACCTGCAAGTCCACACAGCGAGATCTTCTGCTTTCCTCACAGGCGGTCGTGCTCGTTGATGAGTCATATCCGTCAAATACTACCACTGTGGACTGACCATAGTGTGTCAGTACGTATTGGACATACGAATGGCAAATATCCCGGTTAGCTAAGTCGCGGCCAAACTCCTTTCCTGAGAAGGAATCCTACGTCGACAACGTATTGCACTTTGTAGGTCGGTGGACTATCAGTGTAAGCAGCATACTTATTTATAGTTTCCTCTAACACTGACTTTGTTGTTTTCCTCATGTAACGCCCATCAAATAACGATGGTGCGGCTTCGGAGCGAGCTCATACGAGATATTCCTTATGGTCCTCTGGACATTTCGACATGCAAGTGATTCTCATAAAAAGCTGATAAGGGTCTACTCGTGTCTCCTTGCCTCTGATTTTTAATGTGCCGTTTACGACGCGATGTTCAGTGGTTTACCTCAATTTGATCACCCGCTCGTTAGTAAGGGAGGTATTTCAGTGGGGTAAAAAATGACCCCCCACGGAAATACACGTTTTAAAGCAGCAGGATCCAGGAATCAAACACCAAACAAAATCTCAATGATGTCGCTCTGTCGGCCCGTCTATAGAGGTACTGTCATTTCAGGCTAAACGGCTGAACCGATTGGACTCAAATTTGGTACACATATCGGGGACATAAATGGGTAGAATTGCGCATGCTCGGGTGTGCGGGTGGTATCTGTGCTAGACACTGCAATTTTTGTATGTTTCATTGTAACGTCACAAAAATTACCAAACATTTTTTAGAAAACAGTTTAAAATGCCATGAATTGTTGTAGTGGTTATTCTTTAGCATAACCACTACTATTCTGAACAATTTAGGTCCACAACCACCAAAACTTTGCCGGAGATGGAGCGCAATTGCGATATTATGTTATTCACGTCACCTAAGTCTTTTTATCGCTCTACCGGGTGAAGTAAGCGGAGGAAGTGAGGGGAACTTTCAGAAAATACTTAACGTATCGCACACTAACAACTCACCAAAAATCAGCTAGTTACTAATTTTGTCTATTTTTTAACCTAAAGTGCCTGGGCTAAAACCACTTAATCAGCTAGGCAACGACGACGTAGGTTAAAAGCTGCAGATAGAGCACTCATCGTATCTCCGGAGATCCGAGTTTCACTCGATAATACACAAGAAGTACAAGATTTAGGTTGCTCACCACCCGCCGTTAACTGTACATCTTCTACTGCTGGTTCACCTCCACCTGTACTGGAACATGTACCATTTGTACAGGATTTTGTCGATTTTAGTAACGTACTGGAAGACGAAGTAGAAGAAATAATTTCAGAGTGTGATTCAGATGAATCTGATTATGAATCGGAAGCATTTGATGTGCACAAATGTATGAAAGATTTACGAGAATGGGCAATTAATGGTGCCATTCCAATTACACGTGTTAATGAGTTACTCAAACTGTTAAAGCAACATAAGTGTTTTTCATCGTTACCATCTGATGGACGAACATTGTTACAAACACCTCGTAGTACTGAAATTAAGACAGTAGGATCAGGGCAATATTGTCATTTAGGAATTAAGACATCAATTGTTCATCAGCTTGATTTATATCCTATGATAAGCGTGACAAAGAATTTAAAATTACAATGCAATATTGATGGCCTTCCCATTTCAAAAAGTTCCAACAGTAATATTTGGCCTATTCTTATGGCATTCTCAGAATTTCCCCAAATTTCACCAATGACTGTAGGAATATATTATGGGGACAGTAAACCAGGATCTTGTGCAGTCTATTTATCAGACTATGTTACAGAAATGACAGAGCTTTGATAAAAAACGGTCGAAAAATAACTACGTTTATTGTTGTAATTAACTGAACATGAAATACACATTCGTGAAAAGAACAATGCCAGTACATTAGAATGACATCTTGACATACTATTTTCAACAACTACGTTAGATGGCGTTACTGTGCTATTTTTGATATTTTCCAACACCCCCACTTATCAAAAATGAAAAGCCTAAACCCAATAAAAACTTAGAATGCTTAACATTTTTTAAGCCTTTAGTAAGCACATCAGCCAACATTTCATCAGTACTTATAGTATTTTACATTATTAGCCAGGTAAGTGAGTTTTTACTGGCGATAGGAGAAGTTGACTGGCGAGCCGTTAGGCGAGCCTGTCATCTCCTAGAGCCAGTAAAAACTATTACCTGGCGTATAATGTACAATATTTTATTTGTTACTCATTTGTAAACAATAGCACAGATCTACACATACACAGATTGTTAACCTTATGCATTTTTTGGGAAACAAATTTAGGTATTCTTAAAAGCGCCCTCTATTGCGGAGCAGTATAAACATGTACCGTTTAAAACTGTAATATGACGCTTATGGATTTATGCATTAGATGTCGCTGCAAAAAAATTGAAGCGGTAAAGTGTGCATAATTCGAATTCGTTACTCGTTATTTTTAGCATTTGATATTTGTAATCGGTGAATTTATTTTGTGATTTGTTTCGGACTAGTTGTTTCAGTTTGTTATTGTTTAATTAATTTTGTTTCAACGACATCTAACGCATAAATCCATAAGCGTGTAACGAGTGGTTTGATTTCGCGCCAAATTTCATTAAAAATTTCGAATTTCTGGTCATGATAGTGCAGGTCACCCTGTATATTTCATTATTTGTTCCGGTTAGAAGTTTTGGGTTTGGGCATTTCGGTTCGCTCAAGACTATGGTCCGATAGATTTAATATCGCTCAGATTTAATTTCGTCGTGGGAAGAGTGCAAAGCTGATTGACGTCATCATGAGTAATGCGAGTTTTTTGTCGTTTGTTTATCAACTTTGGCGCCGTCTAGACCGAGAATAGCAGCGGATGTAGCACCGAGCTATCAGAGATAAGGAGCTTTCACGTCATCAGCAGAAAACCGTGAGATCAGTTTGGTCAGCAGTTCTTTGAGGTTAATGACGAAGTTAGAGTGGGTTAAGTCTTATTTATCTGAACCAATGGGAGAATTTCTAGCGGGAGCCATTTTTGTTTTATGGTAATTTGGGTGTGGTTTTTTCATTTCAATTCTGAAGAAGGGGATCGTTTTTGGAAGACTCCCGGTTAGTACTTCAAGCGGTCAACACGTACCTTGAGCGAAAGTTTTGGTACACTTGGCGGTTTGAGCCACCGGCTTATTTCGGTTGCTCCCAGTTGCGTGCTTTTTGCACCCGTTTCGAAGTGTTATTTTCTTTTCGTGTTGATTTATTGGCGAAGAAGACCCAAGTTTCAATCAGGTGATATTTTGGCGAACCCTTGAGCTTCACCCCAGTTTACTTTGGATGCAGTGAATCGCGTTAGGATACATTGTGATTTCTCGAGGATATATAATTCAAAGTGCTGCCCTAGTCCTCAAGGCGCAGAATTTCGGGATCCGCCCCAGGTGGAATTTCCTACTAGTGCCGTAAGGTCATTTGTCGAAGGAGCGCTGCGTTTCGGAGAGATATTTGCCCCAAGAAGAGCTGGTGAAATAATACTTTGAATCATCGCGGTTTACCGTCGGATAGTGATCATAAAAGTTTGTGTTCTGCCGTACCGCTAACTCAAAAAATCTGTATTCCGCAGGCGGTCAAAGCTAATAAACTAATAAAATAAAATTAAATACACTGTGCTGTGTAGAAACTTTGGCAACTAGCCGTCTCCCACTCGCCACGCGAAGGATTTCCGGGACTAAGTTTCAGTTCAAACGCTAAACTTTGCTTTCGTTCCGAGGAAGGATAGGCACCGTGGATTTTTGTTTCCGTGTGTTAAATTCAAGCCACCCCTAGGAAGTCACAGAGACCTAAGTGTCAGGTTTCATCACATCCACCCTGTACCAGAGGAAAGAGCAGTTCGCAAGATCGGCTGTACAAAGGTTGTAAAGGTTAGTCTAAATTAAATTTGTAATATTCTGTAAAATTCCACTTTTTGGTAATTAAGCTATAGTAAAAAAAATTTTTGAGTTGATTGATTATTAAAGTCCAATGAACGATTACCAAAGAGTAGGATAAATTTTTGTGTTTATTTAAATAAGTCCCAGCCCATGCTGGATTAAAAACCGATTACCTGTTGTTGCAATTTTCAAACTGTAGAGGATGGCCACCCCTTGAGTAAATTAGTTTCACCTGTTAGGATTTTTTAGTTAGTAGTTGTCATTGTTAAGCTAGTGTTTTTACAAGTAGAAGAGAAGAACTGCTAGATCCCTGTAAATTGTTTGTATCGCTAATCTCATTTCAATATATTATCTAATTGGTTTCAAAGTGCCTGTCTTTAACGAAGAACGAGGGGAAGGAAAGGGAGGAGTAGGAGTTGAGGCAGGAGACTGGTAGGCGGCAGTTTAAGGTTTGTTACACAGTTTCAAAAGAGTTAAAAGCCCACCGATTTGAGTTAACCGGAGCATTTATTTTTATCGATTGAGCAGCCTAAGAAGAAGACGGTTTGCTTTGCCGGGCGGAACCGATGGTAATTTTCAAGTCCAGAAGGAACCCCCGTAGCAAGCGTCATATTATAGTTTTAAACGTTACATGTTTATACTGCTCCGCCATAGAGGGCGCTTTTAAGTATACCTAAATTTGTTTCCCAAAAAATGCATAAGGTTAGCAATCTGTGTATGTGTAGATCTGTGACAATAGTAAACGTAAATAATTAGTTCTTAAATTGATCTTGAAGAAATGTCTAAAATATCATGTGATCCATGTAACAGAGACTTCGCATTAATTCTGGCCAATGAAATTACTAGATTACTAACTTGTAAAATTTTTACACGTCAGCTGTCAGTTTTACAAGTCAGTAGCGTTTAAAGATGACGTTTACCCGTTTGCGTTTTGTCTTGTTAATCAACGTTTACAACTGAGTAACAAATAAATAGTATTTTACATTATTAGCCAGGTAAGTGAGTTTTTACTGGCGATAGGAGAAGTTGACTAGCGAGCCGTTAGGCGAGCTTGTCATCTCCTAGAGCCAGTAAAAACTATTACCTGGCGTATAATGTACAATATTTTATTTGTTACTCATTTGTAAACAATAGTAAACGTAAATAATTAGTTCTTAAATTAATCTTGAAGAAATGTCTAAAATATCATGTTATCCATGTAACAGAGACTTCGCATTAATTCTGGCCAATGAAATTACTAGATTACTAACTTGTAAAATTTTTACAAGTCTGCTGTCAGTTTTACAAGTCAGTAGCGTTTAAACATGACGTTTACCCGTTTGCGTTTTGTCTTGTTAATCAACGTTTACAACTGAGTAACAAATAAAATATTTAACATCTACAATCTTTTTATCGACAGCTTCTCGAACAAAATGATGCCTGATGTCAATGTGCTTTGTCTTTTCATGGAATACTGGATTGCTACATAATTTTTGAGCTCCTTGATTATCGTTAAAGAGTGTAACAGTATCCAGTCCTCCATGAATTTCTGACAGTAAATTTCTGAGATAAATGGCCTCTTTTGTTGCATCTCCCAAGGCCATGTACTCAGCCTCCGTGCTAGAAAGAGCAACGGTTTTCTGCTTACTACTTTTCCAGGAGACCGCTCCCCCTGCAAACTTAAATACAAAGCCAGTGTAAGATTTTCGATCCAACTTATTTGAACCCCAGTCAGCATCAACAAACCCCATTAGCTTTAAATCATCCTTTTTGTAAGTCAAACAATGATCTTTTGTCCCCTTTAAATATCTTAATACCTTTTTTGCACATTTCCAGTGGTATTCACCATGATCATTATTGAACTGGCTCAAAAAACTTACACTGTATGCAATGTCAGGTCTTGTCAGTACTGCTAAAAACATTAAACTACCGATTAGCTTTTGGTACAATGGTACTTCTGAAAGTTGTTCAAGTAAAAAAATCAAAATTATCTATAGGTGTACTAACAACATTGCAATTTGACATCTTGAATTTTCTTAGTAACTGATCTATGTAAGCACTCTGATCTAAACTAATACTGTCCTCTTTTCTACTGATTCTCATCCCTAAACACAATTTTAACTGTCCCAAGTCTTTAATCTTAAAATTAGAGCTTAGCTGATTTTTCAAAAAATTTGTTTCAGACCTGTCATTGCTAAAAACTACAAAATCATCCACGTACAATGCTACTATAATCAAACTACTATTTTTCCTTTTAAGATATATACACGACTCATAATTAGACTTTTTGAAACCAAGACTAATTAATACTTCGTTTACTTTTTGGTACCATGCACGTGAAGACTGCTTCAATCCATATATCGCTGTTCCGGAAGAACAATGACACAACTGAAAAACCACAACTTCGCTTATTTGTGCTAAATTAAGATTTCATTTATTTTATTACCGAAATAATAAATGAACAATACCATTTAGTTCAGACACACTGGGCAAATTATTGGCACTTAATATATATTTTTAAATGGTAATAAATATAAATACTCATTTTTAAAACCAATGGAGATATTTGATATTAAGTCGATGTTCTTCTGAAATCAGGAAATAAGTTTAAGTATTTAAGTCAATATAGATTTATGTGCAACAGTCTTTAAATTTAATACATAGTATATTGATACATCAATAATTTGTGTTTTAGAAGAGAGAATTATAAAAATGTTGATAAAACTGGGGGATCTGATTTTTATTCATTAGAAACATAAAATGTTCGATTTTCAATTCCGAAAGTGGAATTTTGTTGGTGTAGATGCGTGTTAAATTGACTTCTTTCATTACTCTTCCATTAGAAGAACGAGTTGCTTTCTGGTGTTTGAATGCAACGGAGTGCCACTCTGACTGTTTAAAGGAAGTCTTGTAAAGAAATACTTCACTTCCTTTTTCAAATTTCATTACCTTTACATCGTTTATTTTAATATCCTGTCTATCAGTATTTTTGGAAATATTAATCCCCATTTCTTCAAATAAGGCTTTTAGATCAAAAAAATCTCCAAAACTCAGCTCCTTAACTTGTAAAGGATTTCCTTTCTTTTTTGTGTTCCTGATAATTGAGACGTATTGATCTGGCACATAAATAGGGCCCGACTTCTTTGCCTTTTTTACAGACCTCTCGATGATACTGTGCACTGCATCCCCCTCATTTTGTGTATGACCTCTAACTAAATATTTATGGGTTATTGAATTAATGTTGAACTTTTCAACTGCATACAAGTACATTCCAATGAAGAATCTGTAACAAAATGAAAACATTATAGGTAGGTAATATTCTTTCATACTTTAATAGTTGTTGTGTTGGTACATACTTGTTTTTTTGCTGACCACCACAGTTGTCTGAATAAAACACGACATCAGCTCCAGGTTTGGTTTTGGACAATTCCTCTAGATAGAGTAAAACGCAAGTCCCTATTTCTGCAGCACCTCTATGCCCGAGCCCTTCATGCCAGAAGAAGCAGAAAGTTTTGTCATTCCCAATTTCAGTTACCTAAGAAAAGAGGATAGGTAGGTACCAACTTTTCTGAAAATTATTATTCGTATCCTTACCGTAAAGTTGAAACAGTTAAGTCTGGATTTATAAAAAAAAATTGAAGTTTGCGCCATTGGTACAGGTAGTACCGCCTGCAAGTCATAAACTGCTAAAACAATGTCTTGGTTTTTGGCTTTGCTTTTATCCTGGTCCTTCTCATTACGACTAAGTTTTTTTTCTTCTTGATGTTCTTCGTATGCCTTTTGTACTTCAGTATTGTTTGGATTATTTTTATAGGATTCACATAGGTCACATTGATCTTTCTTAGGTGCGAAGAATCCAATGTTAAATTCTGTATTGAATATCCGGGCATATGTATCGTAAGTTGTGGTGGGTTTATTAGCTAAAGCCCTTTCTTCTGAATAATGCCTATGCATTTCGGCAATGGACAACCCACCATCTATAAATTCTCTTGACGTATCGCTTCTAACATAATGGCTTTCAATTCGCGGTATTGAGTTTATGTGGTCTCGGATGGAATTCAAGATTTCTGAATCAATTCTTCTGTGTTTACTGTGTTTCCCTCTTTGATCTGCAGGTGCAATTCCACAACCAGTTGCCTTTGACGCAATGACAGTTCGAATAGTTCTTTCAGCTATTCCTAATGTTATCAAGAATGTTTTGCAAACACGGACTTTCTGTCCGTTATTCAGCAAATAGAAGGCGCAGTTAGGTTTGCGGGCTTCTGTGGATGATATGCGACGGTACTTCACTGTTAACTGTTCAATGCAAGAACTCAAAAAATCGCGCTGTCGTTGCAGAGAAGCCAACTCCCAGTATTCTGTGAACAATTGAATTCTGAATGCCTCACCAATTTTTTTCGTACAGGATAGTATGCATTTTTCTGAGCATGGTGGTCTCATTTTTTTCGCTTCAACCATTTTTCCGGCGCTTGATGTATACTTTTTCCCCGAATTTTTCAATGTCTTAGCTTTCACTTTAATCCAGTTTTCAACATTCCTTATTCTCTTTTTTCCTTTCTTAGCTGGAGAATCAGGTCCATTCTGAGCTGGTTCTAGATTCTCAGCTTCAGAATCAAAGGATTGTTCAGAGCAGCTTGACTCCCGACTACTTGATGGTGCATAATTATCACTAGAACCAGATGAAAAATCCCCATCTTCTGAAGTATTCGGACTAGAGGATGTTTTATGAACCCTTGTAAAATTCATCTTCATAGTACCTGTACTCTGAACAACGTACGTGCTTGAATTCTGAGTAATCATTTCATTATTGATGTTTTGCAATTCATCTTCAGGATCTGCAACGTCTGGATTCTGTGCACTGTTATTGAAATTCGCTTGATTTTCCATTGAACTTAATGCAAGTTCCATAATCCGATGACTTCGGTTACTCATTTTGAGTATTTATTACTAATTCAAGTAAGACATAAATGTAAGCATTCGCTTAGGTTCAGTGGCAACAATGGCAGAAAGAACAATTACGTCATAAAAGTAAACTCTTCACTAGGTTAATAATGACACAAAATACAGTTACGTCGTTCTTACGCTCAGCGTTTGTCACAATCACCAATAACGTTAGATGTAAAGTACACTTACGTCGTTATAGCACCGCAGCAATACCACAAGACGCCGAAACTTCCACATAAATAACTATTACACCGATATTCTTCTGGAATGGTTCAGCTATTTTGATTACGTCAACATAAAGTCACTAAATATAGAAAGTACCGCAATCCATTGGGCTCGTGTGTTAGAGAGAGAACGCATGATTTTTGCCCAAAAATGGCGGAAGTTACCAGATTCTAGTAACTTTCATGTTAGGGATTGTTCCACCTGTTTGGAGATATCTGTATATATTTTTATAAAACATGACAGTACTATGAAGTTAGGTTATAAAAAAATTACAGCTATTCAGATTTTATTTGTCAATTTTTTTAAGTTGGCAGCAAATTTGCCCAAAAATGGCGGATGATTGCGGTACTTTCTATATCTAGTGACTTTACGTCAACAATGACACAACTGCCATCTAGCGGCTGGAATTGTTAACTACAGATGCGTCATTGTTCTCCCACACAAGATAATGCGTTTTTGAAACAAATTCCACAATAAAATCGTTTTCCTCAATTTAGCAGTTATGTCATTGTTCTCCCGGAACAGCGATATAGCCTTTTTTAACCTTCGAATAGTCGCGCCAAGTTTTAAACCGTGCTTAGTCGCGCCGGTCTCAGAGACCGACCTAACGTAATTACTGCCAAATAAGTAGCGCAATGTAACATGCATATGGGGAACGGTTCAACAACACAATAAATAACGAAGAAAAAGAAAATGAAGAACATTTGGTGAATTTCTCCAAATATACATCTTTGAAAATTGTGTTTGTATTGCTGCAGTTTATTCATATGTAAACAATAAAAACCTTAAAATAATAAGTAGAGTAAAATATGACACTATAACCTAATTTTCTCGACACTCCTGACAAACGCCAATAATATGTTCTAAGCACATATATTTATTGCACCTATGGCATTGAAACCGAGTCTTCCGATTTTTTTTCGAAGTACAGTATGCACATCTTCCAGGTAGAACAGGCTGTGGAACTTCAGGTTCGATATTCATCCCAGTGATTTCCTGCAGTCTCAGCTTTAGAGTTCGAGGAATATTGATCATTGCAGATCGTACTTGCAAATGGGGCTTGACCAAATCGTTGCCCAATTGCCTTAAAAAACGCCTTCTCAAAATTTTCTTGTCAGGGTTGTTGGAAACATAGACCACCTGCGAATTGATGCCAGCTACGTTCAACAAATTGTAGAAAACCACCATGGGCCATCTGCGCGTGTTTCTAGAACAGTTGTAGCTTGCAGTAAGTTTATCTACAGTGTCTACACCTCCCTTCGTTCTGTTATAGTCTGTAATCATCACGGGTTTATTTACATAGGTTTCTGAATCTATTTCATCTCTATCATGCATACTAGAAAGCAAGAGTACATTTTTTTTCTTTTTGGGTATATAGGAGACAAGCGTGCACCCTTGCGAAAACCCAAACATGCTGGTATGTTGCGGCCGCTCAGCAGGTTGAGAAAATTCTAATGGTAATTCTCTTTTATTCTTGCGTATGGTTCCAATTACTGTAAGGTTGTGATCAAGTAACTTTTTTACAAGTGGTATAGAGGTAAACCAATTGTCCATTGTGATATTGCGACCAGATCCAAAAATGTGTTTGCAAAGCCGTAGAACGACATCAAAGGGACTATTTGAAACTTTGTATGCCCCGTCAGGTTGTGTTCCGACGTAAATTTCCATCTTGCTTGTGTAGAAGAGTTTGGCATCACACAATGCTAGAATTTTTAACCCGTATTTATTGGGCTTCGATGGAATGTACTGACGAAAACTGCATTTTCCTCGAAATCCGGCCAGCATCTCGTCCACGGTCACAAATTCGGAGTGGTGGAATCCGTTCTGACAGTTAGCAACAAAACGGTCAAAAACATTGCGTATAGGAGCCAATTTATCTGTTTCTCTTCTCATTGCTCGAGTCTCTTTACTGTCAAATCTTAGGCAACGAATTAGAAATCTAAACCTTTGCAAACTCATGGCGAGGCGAAAAATTTCTACACCAGACCCATCATTACTCCATAAATCTTCGGCATTGAGACGATTTGCGTGATACACACCAGCCATATAAATGACTCCAATGAATGCACGAATTTCAATTAGATTAGTCGGGGTTGCGTCTCTTTTTCGCATAAAATTATTACGAACAGATTCAATATATTCGTTGGTGCACTCGACAATAATGTCGAGTATCTCGTCGTTGAAAAAATACTCCCATATTTCCAGTGGTTCTCTCAAGTTTCGTGTTGTCAATGAGGAGCCTGGTAGACGTTTCACAATATTCATTTGACGTGTTTTGCGTGTTTTGGGATGTGAAACCACTTTTCTCCAACGCGTGACCTTATCCTTTCCATAAAACGATAATCGACTGTTGGGACTTTCTTCTCCCATTTCCTCGTCATCGGAAATATCCTGCTCGGTGTCGCTGTTCTCATTTTGCTGCTCTACACGATCCTCTTCTTCATCAGACTGATCCGTATCAGAGTGATCGTCGTATGCAATTCCTTGTCCTTCGTCGTTCAAAATTTCTAATTCTAAGAGTTCTTGCAGTCGAGCCTGTTCGCTTTCGTAAGACCACATGGCTAAGTAATAAACAATGATGTCACATTGAGAAAACATAAAAAAGGCGAAAGACTTTACCTGACAATAAAATAACCCGATTAGTCGCGCCGGTCTCTCACACCGTAGGGCACAATATTTTTGTCAAACGGTCACTTACAACACTCACATTAACACTGCTGCACCACGGCACATCATAGAAAAGATACATGGAATGGGAGGGACCTCCCACCATTATTTTCAGAATACCACTAAATAAAGTTTGTGGTCGGTCTCACAGACCGTGCGCGACTAACGGAAGGTTAAACGGCAAACTTTATTCTCATTACCTTCAGTAACAAAACCTTCTGGCTGACGCATAAAAACTGTCTCATGCAGGTCTCCATTCAAAAAAGCTGTCTTCACGTCTAGGTGTGTGGTTTCTAAATCTAGTTTTACAGAAAGGGCCAATAATAACCTCAAACTCGAATATCGGATTACAGGAGAGAAAGTCTCGTCAAAGTCTAAACCTTCACGCTGCGTATAACCCTTCGCAACTAGACGCGCACGATAACACATTTTATTTTCATGATCCACTTTCTTTTTAAAAACCCACTTGCACTCGACTAATGTGCCGCTACTGGGAGAATCAACCAAATCCCATGCCTCGTTGTCTTTGAAAGACGACATTTCATCTTCCATCGCTTGTTGCCATCTGTTCCCATCGGGTCTTGACAATGCCTCTGATACTGATGCTGGGATGTCATCTAGGCCTACCTCACTTCGACACTGAAATATTACATAGCCATCGAATTGTTTTGGTTTTTTCTGCCTCTCGGATCTTCTTATCGTTTCAGGTATCTCAACATTCGGTGGTAAGAACTCTACGTCATTAGGGTCATCTGCGAAATCAAAGTAGTCCTCTTGTTCGTCAAGCTGTAAACTATGGTTTTCTTCCCCCACTTGAGCTGAAATCTCCTCTGACAAATTTTTTGTACACGGCGTTTCTAAGAAATCAAATGTTTTTAGTATTTTAGGTTTCTCATTAATTATTACATCCCTGCTGGTAATGACGTTCTTTTTGACAGGATCATACAACCTGTACCCCTTGACATTTTTACCATAGCCCACTAAAAACATTTTTTCTGCCTTTTTGTCAAGTTTTTGCCTCTTTTCCTTGGGTACATGAACCATTACTTCGCTACCAAATATGCGAACATGACTTACATTCGATTTCTTACAATAAAAAACTTCATATGGAGTTCTGTTATCTAGTCCTGAAACAACAGATCGATTTCTGAGACACACAGCTGTATCCATGGCTTCAGCCCAAAAATGCTTAGGGAAACTAGCATCAAATAGTAAGCACCTTGCCTTTTCAACCCAGTGTTGCCAACCATACGATATAATTATCGTACTTACACGATAATTAGCCCTCAAGTACGATGTACGATCACGACTTTATCATCGTACGCTTCCATACGATAATATCACATATTGTAGAGTGTTTGTACGATTGCTTATTGATTACTATAGTAACAGATTGCGTTCGCACTTTGCAATTGCGTAGTGTAGTTGCATCAGTGATAGCACCCTGTATTTAACTGTCTGTTCTATAGTATACTGAAAGGAGAATTCATTCATGCTCTATTCTGTGGTCATGTGCTGCGTGTTCTTGTTGTTTGAGGTTACGTTAGCATTAAATCAACGCAGTGACTACTAGCACGTTAGAGTGCCTGTAATATATTTTTTACAGGCACGTTAGTGACGTCAAAATAGATACTGTCGTCATTGACGTACCTATTATTTGAAAATTGGCGCCACGTCATACGGATAACCTACAAGTAAAAATAAATAACAATAAATGTCTAACCTCTGTTTTGTTTATGTTAGGGCAGTTAGGGTGATCGTGTACTTTAAACATGGAATCTTGCGTTAAAGGTACGTTAAGTAAAGCAAGTGGGGAGTAGATATAGGTAGGTGTATATTATGTCAGGTGTATTAGGGAGTTATTACGCTAAAACGATAAGATTTAGTTCTTTATTATGACTAATTAATGATGCAATGATTTAACATTCTATCGTTCACTTTGTTTGTACATCCTCACCGCTGCGCAGAGTGCCGTCCTTGCGTCTGCGCTGTAACATGTACTTTCTTGGAAGTGTCTAAGTTTAGGGCTGAAGTGTTATGGATATAACAGTGTATATTCTTGTTCATTTAGGGCCAATTGCACCACTACATCTTAAAGGTTAAGTTTAACTTAAATATTTAAGTAGCGCTTTATGGTTTGCACAGTCATTATTATAAGTTATACTTATTTTCTTAAGTTGAACTTATAGGGAATTTAAGATAATTAAAGCGACCTCTACTGTCATTAGCTCAAACGTACCTAAGATATGTAAACAAACAAATGGTTATAGACCGTTTGTATGGTAGGGTGATTTAATTTCGTTTATTTTGCTTTGTTATCGTGTTTAATCTGCTTGTGTTAAAATTTTGAGAAATTTAAGTAATTAATTAACAAGTGTAGTGGGTATGGCGAATACATTTTGCTGTGTACCCGGGTGTAACTCTTTGAAGCGGCGAACCCCTGATATAAGTTTCCACAAATTTCCTAACGTCAACGACACAGTACGAATTCAGACAAAATTGGGCGTTTGGGAAATCGTAAATCGCAGATATATTTGGAAAACTAAACTTCGAATAGGAAAAAACATTAGTGAATTCATGAAAGTTTGTTCATTACATTTTACTGAAAATGATTTCTTTACAAGTAAGTAAATGAAAAAGTGTGAAACTGTTATGATTTTATTTTGTATTTTAGTTCGTCAAAGGAGGAATTTGAAAAAAAATGTTATTCCTACGATGTGTTTACCTAACCCTGTTCATGGTTCAGTACAGGAATTAGCACCATCGAATCGTGGAGTAAGATTATCAATACGAAACCAAATGAAAGAATTAAGGGATATACCGGCAACCGATCCTGTAACTGAAGACAATTGTCATGAAAATATCGACACAGTGCCCACCACTGAGGAACTACAAGCGGCTGATGCATTATTAACATTAATACAAACTGAAAGTCAAAACAGTGAACCAAAAACTTTCAGAGACTTTCAAATTCAAGTCAATACACCATCAAAGTTGACATTGTCCCACTTTATTCAAACTGAAAAAGCTTTAACAAGTTTAACCGGACTGAATAGTTTTATTTTGTTGGATGAAATTTGTGCGTCTATTGCAATCATATATAAAGATGTTCGAATACATAAACTATGTGTCAAGGATCGAGTGTCATTAACATTTACTAAACTAAAATGTGATTTGAGTTATACTATCCTAGGAGTTTTATATGGAATAAGTAGTGTCCTGTGCAGAATTTATTTTATAGAAATGATAAAGTTACTTTCCACCATTTTAAAATCAGTGATCGTATTTCCGTCAAAAATAGAAAATTCACAAAACATGCCAATCTGTTTTGAAAAGTTCCAAGACACTCAAATCGTCTTAGACTGTACTGAGATATTTATTCAGACGCCAAAATGTTTATGTTGCCGAATACGGTTCTATTCACACTATAAAGGTGCACTTACAGTAAAATTTATGACAGGAGTTTCTCCAGCAGGTTTAGTAACTTTTGTTAGTAAAGCATATGGAGGGAGAGCATCGGATAAAATTATTTTTCAAGGAAGTGAATTAATCAAAAAATTAGAAAAAGGTTCTGCAGTTATGGTTGACAAGGGATTTTTAATTGAAGACATTTGCAAAATGTATGAGATTAAGCTGTATCGTCCACCATTTCTTCGAGGTAAAGCACAATTTGACGAAGGAGAAGCAATGTTCACTAAAGAAATAGCATCTGCCAGAGTGCACATTGAACGCACTAATCAACGCCTCAAAATTTTTAAAATTCTAGGAGGGAAACTTCAGTGGAATCTTGTACACTACATTGATGACATTATAATAATTATTTGTGCAATTACTAATTTGTCAGCACCAATTTTAGCAGAGGATAAATTTTTAAAATAATATTTTTATAACAATTTATGTATTACACATTACATGTAACATTTTTTTAAAATACTTTCCTTTAACATTAAACAATAAAGTTTTTGAAAAATCGTAATTATATGGTACATCTAGAATTAACATGCTTTTATCAAAAGAACAATAAATAATAAATTTGCAATTAAATACATTTAGCATCGCCATCCCAAGTTGCACTTGTGCAAAATATTTGTGTTTTTTTTTTAATTCATAAATATTGTCTTCAAGTTGCAAGTATTTTAATTTAGGTACCACACTTCCTATGGTCTCTGTAGCACCTAAAACAAGTCATTTAATTATTTTAGATTAATAATAAATTGCAACATACCTGCAAATGGGCATTTAATTTCGATTAATTCTTTTGGATTACCGTCTTGGTCAACAATTATTCCATCAGGTGAATAACCAAGCCAGGAATTAAAGTGAGAAACAACCAATCCACATTCTACAACTTTCAAGCCCGTAGCATCCATAAAAATCTGTCGGGCAACTGGTTTTTGCTCAATGCCATGCTTAGTAAATTTATTCATGAAACTTATTGGATTAAAATAACGATTTGCTTTTTTTTGCCAATCATCTGATTTATACGTATATAGTTCATAAATTCGTGAACCTGTAACCCTAAATTTTCTTTCAATATTCCAAAATTCTTTTGACTGTTTAGTTTTAAGCAATATTTCGTCAATATCTTTCAATAAGTGTTTATCGAACAATTCTTTACAACAAGAACCTATGAAATTTACATGAAAATGATACAATTCCATCATTAAAATTGATTGCGTTGCGTGATTTAAAATGACTACATCATGCTCATCATATGGAGTAAACACTTCTTCATTCTCAAAGGTGGAAAGGTTTGTGCAACGTCGTCCTGCCCTACAAAGTTCATTAACATAATATACATTGTAACATTAAATTGCTCACTTGTGTAATGCCAATGCTGAATTTGGCAATTTAGACACCAAATTATCGTGTATGCCCATTAAAATTGCCTCGTCCAATTTCATACCATCACTTTGCTTTATGCACGGCATTTCTTTAACAGGAATTGCTCTATATTTATCTTGTGTTTTGCCTTTCTGAGCAGACCATGTGCATTTAATATCAGTTTGCGAAACTGCTTCAAGTTTATCGAGGGAAGTCCTACAACAAGGATATCAAAATATCATCTGTTTAACCTGCATAGATTAAATAAAACCTTGAACATTGTAGCAAAACTGCTGAAATATGCTTGCATCGACCACTTTGCCCAGCTTTACAAGAACATGCAAACTTTTCTACAACCCACTTTTCGTCATCATGCACTAAAGTCCCTTCGATTTTATGTGGTGCACTTTGTAAGGCACTCGTTTGTAAACAAAGTGCATACAACGTTAGACGATTTTCCTCCTTGTTTGTTACTCCACACAGTATGATGTGTCCTGCATTAAGAACATGTTCCCCTTCATACACCACTCTAGAATTATCTGTCCCTTTTATATACAGTAGATAGTCACATATCGAGAATCTGTTCTCCATAACCTAGAAAGTTAATATTTTACGTCAGGTTAGATTATTGAACTTATGCATTACTTACGCGGAACGGCAGAAGTTGCGCTTGTATCAATTTACTTCAAATAAGCTATTTCGTGATCCACTCGTATATAATTACTTCAAAAAATTCAAAACATACACACTTTATATATACAAAACAGCAAAGATTAGCAAAGTTTACATATCTTGCAGAGCTTTACAATTTGTCCACCGCGGCGCTGCGATCTTATTTTTAATTCCCTATACTGCCGTCCTAAGCCAAAAAGACGCATCTAAATATTTCAACTTTTTGAGTTATTGCGATTTATCTGATTTTTGTTACAGCACTCTCATTTTGTATTTTTTGTGATTTTTTCAACAGTTGTTTGTAGTGATGTGTATGAATTATGAACAAATTTGACAAACTTTTTTTTTAGACAGTAATATTTTAATTAAAAAATGAGATGCGCCTGTTAGGCTTAGGATTTTCCTACAAATCTGAGATACGTCTAGAAGAGTAATGCAAGTTTATTACATACTTTTTACACAAAGATTTAAATTGAGAGTAAATGAACTTTAACATATTAGATGAAAGCAAATAATGACACAAATGTTAGTTAGAGTCCTCGTCTTGTGAAACTGGAAGCTCATTCCAAAACTGAAGCCTGTTCTTCATTATTGCACCTAGATTTTTTATTATTGCTGCTTTTTTTTTGGATGGAATTCCTAGAACTTTTTGTTGTTTTTTTGGAGGAGGCAGTTTTTTATTCTTCGTAATTTTGGCACTGAGAAAATCAAGTTCAATTATCGGAGCGTCAAAGTCATTTTGGTATGTCATAATAAGGGAACCTCTATGGACTGATACTTGGACTATTTCATTTAGATAGGGCCGGGGGTTAATTCGACTAAGTTTATATTGCGAAGTGTAATCCTCCCAAATAAAAAAATGCTGTAATTCCATTGGTAGAACTTCAGTTTGCCGTGAGGCTTGTTTTACGGCTTGAACAAAATCTCCAAAATCGTATAGTTTGTTGCCCATCTTTTTCATCGACAGCTCGACTTTGTGGTGAAAAGAATCTGCGGCCATAAATGTATGGCCGGGCTCGAAATATTTTATAACAATTTCATTAGCATTAATTTCATCCGAATTAACAATGTAGAGCAAAAATGAGAAGAATGACCAGTTCTTATTTTGCGCAGAGCAATTATCAAGCCACAATGTTATTTTGACAGCGTCTCTTTTCATAAGGACAAATTGGTAAAATGCGCTTATTATTTCATCTTTACTGCGTTTAAATAAAGCGTCGTGCCAAACAGCGGCAAACGTTTTGCTATTCTTTTTTTTGCCAATTGGTACAAAGCTCTCATTGTAAACTGTAATTCTGCTTGTGAAAATTGCTGTTTTAAACGTTTCCAGTCTTGGTAGCATAATAACTTTTTCCAGGTCGGCGCAGTACATAACCTTACCGGCTTCTTCTGGTTGTTTACCATCATCTCTGTAGTGTTCACGCGACTTTGTTGCTCTGTCTATATGTTTTTTCCAAGTTCTACAAACATCACAAGTTTCTTCTAGATTGTCTTTTGTGTGACTTTTATCATGTAGAGAAAACCCTTCACAACTTTCACATTCTTCGTGTCCTAGATTTGCTAGCGATATGTTCATTTTCTTAGCTACTACACGGTACTTTTCATAGGAAATTTTTAGGTCTGGATGTTTGGTTAGGAAATCCTGATGTAATGCAGCAAAAGTAAGGTCACTAGGAAGATAAAGACGTTGGGGTGCATGTTCTCTCCGGTAGTGTGAGATAGTGGGGTTGTAAGATACAATATGATTACGGATCACTTCATCGTCTATTTTATTGTGCGGTTGCTTCCTGCATCTCAAGTCAGGCACAGGCACTACAGAATTGTTAGCATTACGTAAAGCTGTGCGGATAACTTTGTCACTTTGTTTATTAAAACCTAGAGTTGCGAGAAAAAAAGTTTTGCATACATTTTGAGATGTTCCATTTTCATTTTTCAGTGCATAGTTATAAGTGATATTTCTTTGATAACCAAGATCACTTTGTAAGGTTGTTCTCTGTTTCACTGGTCTTGATGAAATATGATGTAAAATAAAAGATTTTCGGTCTTTATCGTTTGACATTTTCCAAAATTCGCTATTCAGAAATTGTTTTCTCTCTTCTGATATCTTTGACACGCATTTTTTTAAACAATCTTTCCCACAACTATCTTTAACGCAGTGCTTTTTTGCAAGTGATTCATGCTTAGCTTTTTTTCTTGAACTCACTGACAACTCGAACTTTTTTCTTTTTCGAACTGTTCCCTTTTTAGTGTATTGGACCACAGATGCGTTATTACTTACTCCAGCGCCGTCGATATCTACGAAATCGTCAGGATCCGCTACAACAACCTCGCCTTGAACTGGTGGCTCGACTGCTTCCGTAATTGATTCAAATAATTCAGTGACTGTCTCTAACTCAGAATTTCTTACTTCTGTCATAAAAGAGCGTGTTGATTCAAATAATTCAGTGACTGTCTCTAACTCAGAATTTCTTACTTCTGTCATAAAAGAGCGTGAGTCCTCTACTTCGGGAGTATCAAAGTGAACTGGCACAATAGAGCTAGAAATATCGAGAAGGACTGGACTTCTCGAGGGTATGCGTGTGACAGGTGAGATTTCCGTCAGAGAATTCCCTGAGTTAATGTCGTTAATAACTCCATGACCAGCGCTACTTTTCACAACTAAATTAGAAGAACAATTTTTATTTTCTTCCTTGCACTCACTTGTCGTGTCGCTATCACTATCATTATTTTGCGAACTAGTGTCAGTGGGATAATAATCTAAATCTTCCGACGTCTCACGGTTTTTAATTTTTACCGCGGGTTGGAACGTTTGTTTAGTTTTCTTGTTCAGCGCCAACATGACCAGCTTGTTTCCGCGAGACCCTTGTGTTCTGTCCATTGAATCTGAAAAAGCAGTGTAAACAAAAAATACTAAAATAATGGGCATTTCATCGTAACGTATTATTAATTTATCAACGATAAAGGGATTTTTTAACCATTGAGTGGAATGTCAATTTAACGTCTGCTATAAAATAGGGTATATTATGCTCGCTGAAAATCCGATATACCTACTTGAATAAAGAAAATCATATATAATTACTTACCTGCTGACAGTGTGTAGCCAATCTGTCTCTTGTTACAACTATTATATAGGCACTAAATAGGTACCTATTTACCTACTCTAATCGTTTATCACCCCGATCAAAGACAATTTTATATCGTATGCGCAAACAGTTGACTTTACTAATACAAGCACTACTAAATTACTTAAAACTGTCATAAAGGTTAAACCGCCGACCACGCCCTTGTTCGTATGTTTTACCGCCTATCTGGTTACACAAATGAATTACTAACTACGATGTAGAATCATAAATTAACTAATTTGGACGCATCTAAGCACGCACTGTACAAGACCCGCACTCTGCATTACCAAAAATCCTAAGCGAAAAAGGCGCATCTATGAGAACCGTCTATATTGCTTAGGAAATTGAGATACGTCCAAACTGATTAGGTTTTTTTATTTTTTTTTAGATGCGTCTAAGTTTATTAGCAATTTTTAAGCACTATGGAGTTGAAATGCGTCTTTTTTGCTAAGGGAATAAGTTAAACATCGTATCTGGAGTCCTTAAAACCATTAATATAAAAATCGGAAAAATATTGAGATGCGTCTTTTTAGCTTAGGACGGCAGTATAG